TATTAATGAATTTTTGGAAGTATTCTTTAAATGGCAGTGCCATATTTAAAAATAGGACACAAAAGTTAAGGAATGCACATTGAAATCCTATTAAAAGTAATTTTTTAGCAAATGTATTACAATGTATTATAATTTAAATGAAACATTTATATATAAGGTTCCTTTTATATTGTACATCTTAATGGTGGAACAACTCACTGTGAAGAAGAAGAAGAAAACAAACCAAAGTGTATATTTGTATTTTTAACTGAACATAACATTTATTTATTTACAATATAGTGTCATCTGGTCTAACATCTGTAACTATTTCATAACATCATTTTTGTTGTTTGACAGGTGGCATTTTTGTCAGTGTTATTTTGTAATAATTTTAGAGAGCCACAAGCAGAATGGAAATAGGGGATTTTTAAAAACATACAATTGTTGTACAAAGGGAAGAATTTGTTTACAATCACATTATAACGGAAAGACAATTATATGTGGATAGCATAGGCAGATGGAATAAACGTCCTTATTAAATTCCCAGAACAAAACAACATTTGGTCTCGTCTGATGAGCAGTTAGGACAGTGATAAAAATTACACCCAAAAATACATTTCTTATGAGAAGCCCCATAGTCTAAATAGCCTAGCATGCCTCTGAATTAATTCTGATGTGTTTTTATTGTTAAATGAGTAATTCTGGCACATATATAATTGCCCTCAATTGATTGGTTCGTGCTAAAATCATCAGATTTTCAAGAATTCCAGGGAGTGAATAGTTTGTATACTCAGAGTCATGCTGAGAAGGCCTCCATACTGATTAACATCTTTGCTCCTTGAAACTTGTGTTCTCATGTAGTTGAGTTCTAATATCTTATTTTCCCCTTTCTGTTCAAACAAAAGATAGCCTTCATAACTAATAAGAAAATTAGTAACAGAGCTTATTTTTGATGATGCTCGGAACAAATTGTTTAGTTTCAAATATGAAAAAGTTCCCCAAATTTTATCTGATAGGCTGACATATTGTTTTTAGTGTATAATATTTTACTCTGTTTAAGCACTGTTGTGATGTTAAATAATAAAAATATCTATGCAGAGTTCACCACTATAACTGTCACCATTGACCGAAAGCTACCACAGTCATAGACACGGGCAACGCTATCTCCTCCTTTCAGCAGAAAGTAGTTGTGAAGTTTTGGCTATTGTGGTGTAAATGTTGAACTTTTGACAGTGACAACTGATTTCAGAAATGTGTACTTCTCTATCAAAGTTAAAAAGAGATGACCACAACCTTCTGTGTCAGCGGTGGGCAACTTCTGGCGTGTGGTCTGCAATGCCGTCTAGAAGGGTTCTATGTGTAGCCCTCAAGACATTTTCTTTACCATTCCCTAGGCACAGGGTTGCCAGATTCTGCTGGTTTCCATCAGAGTAGTTTTTTTCCTACCAGTTTTGCTAAAATAGCGTGCATGTAAAAGGCAAATGCAAGGCTGTGCACTCCCTCTGCATTTAATCAAAGCGCTGCTACGGTTCAGTCATCCCACCCCACAAAACTACCCTAGCCTGGGACACTGTCTTGGTTACCAAAATCTTATGGCCCATTAAGATGAAAGAGAGCTATTCATGCAGCCCACTCAATAACCAAGGTTGCCCATCGCTGCTCTATGCCGATGAATAACTCAGTGTTTGGGTGTAGTCTTTTTGCAACTCTGCCTCTTCACCTACATTAGATGGTTTGGGGCACAGAAACCTAAAATTGCCTACATGCCCACAATATGTAACTCAGCATTCCTAATATTCTCATACTTGTCCTCCCTCTCCTTTTCACCTCCCATATTGCTTGAGCCAACATCTACTCATGTCAATGAAAATACTTTCATTCATTCAGCTGAATTTGAATCAAGTCTATAATCTGTTGTATCTCATTTTAAATTAAACCCTGATTCTGCAATGGCTTACTTGTGCTTAACTTGATACTCTGTGAGTCATTTTAGTGATGTCAACAGGACTGCACGGAGTGCATAAAATCATGAATGAGTCTTTGCAGGATTAAAGTTTTAGATTATAACTTAATCTGGACAGGGACTAAACCTTTCTATGTGTTTGCACACAGCCTAGCACAATCCTGATTGGCTCCCAATTCTGATAAAAGCTTCCAGGCTTTACTGTAATAGATGTAATAAGCAATATAAAAATAATTCCCCTATTGAGCACATTTCAGGGGATCAGTTTTAAGTACATTCCAGGCTTATCTGTAAAATTTAGTCACGGTATTTTGAGATCTACAGCAATACTTAAACAACAAACCTTATCTTCAAATGAGAAATCTTGTGAGATCTTTATGTCATACAAAGGAATTCCAGAAAAAGTAGGACTTGATGAAAAGCCTTTAAAATATGATCTGATTACATTTTCATTATCTTTGGCTTTTATATTTAAAATAGGTAAGTGCACAGATGTCTTTAAAATAGTGCATCTTGAAGTGTCATTTATAATGAGATCAGTGTTTGTGAAACCTTTTTTTTTTGGCGTACATGCTTTTTCAGACACTTTTTACTATGAGGTAAGTCAGAATATTTACAGGACATATTATGCATGAGACATTGTGGTGAAAAATGAAAATACAATATTTTGTGTTAATTTGCCTCTGCAAACATTGTAACAGTGACTGCATGATTTGCTCCTTACACATGTGTACTGCTATAATGAACTGAAATATTTGTTAACATTAAATAGAGATTTATGCTGACAGTTTTATAGATAAAGCTTTGGAAACATGTAGTCATATAAAATACATTCATACTCTTGAAGTATTTGCTATTATGCCTGTACAACTTAAATATGTGTATTGGAGTAACTATATCTTCCCCTCAACTGTGGTGCTGATTTAGAACACTTATTAAATGATAGTAGTTTATTCATTGAGAATACTTCATGTTTTTAGAAACTATTTTTTTTCTTTTACTGTGAATTAAGTTTTTGGTTTTAACTTGCAGCCCACTTTAATTTCTAGTCTTGAAAAATATTGAAGTCAACTAGACATGTATTGTTTCATATAACATACAGAATAAAAATAAATAAAAATAAAACATCCTTAAAATAATTCCCACGCTTTATAAGAACATTGACTTTCTATTGAGCAATGGATTTACATCCTCGACATGGCTATCTGATCTGTGTGTCGTCTTCATCAATTAGGAGACAGCTGTTGGTGTATACAAAATATGCAGCTTGCCATAATACTTATCTTCAGCTTATAGAAATATGTTTTCTCTGTCTAAACACATAGATGACAAGAGGTCGGACAATCAGTGCTATTTCGGGATAACAGAAGTATTCCAAAATAGCTATTCCGATAAACACGCCCATTATCTCGAAATAGATTTTGAAATAATGGGTGCGCTATTCTGGCATCCATTCTATGAGAGTTAAGGGACATGTAGGAATAACACTTTATTTTAAAATTAAATTTCAAAATGAGCTATTTTGAAATGAGATCAAAATAAGATATGCAAGTTGCGTAATTCAAAATTGTGTATCTTATTTAGACCTACGGGTGCAGTGTAGATGCACCCTAATAGGCCTTTTGACATAAAGGAATAAACAAGAATATAAGGGCCTTCATTAGAACAATTGTAACACAAGCAACAAACTATTGAGATGTAGGGGGAAGAATTAAATAAGGAGAGGAACTCTTAAAATATCAATATCTATCCCCCTTACAGAGTAACTAATCAACCTACTTCTTATTGCACTAAACCAACATCCATTTTCTCTCATGCCTCTCCAAGTAGCTCCTTGGTGTATTAAATCGGTATCCATTCTTCTTTCTACATCCACATTTGGTTCCCTGCTTCACAATTCCACTGTCTTCACCTTATTTAGACTGAGGGAACATTCTAACGACTGTGACTGAACATTATGAAAAGCAGAGGAGATTTAATCTACATGGAACAATAGATTTCAGATGAAGCTGTCATTCTGCATTGGAAATCATCTACCATACATCCTATTTTTACAAAGATGCTTATTTTACTTAATGGTTTCCTAGCCATTAGGCAGCTTAAAAGGGTGTTGTTGAGTGAGATAATTACATCCTTGTAAAATTTTAGGCACAACCCTCTGTGTCTTTTAGCATCCCCAGTGTATTCATTGTTTCACAATTACTCCACCTCCCAAAATGCTGTATAGCTGTGCTGAACCTATGTAACACGTTTGTGCATCATGATGAGAGACTCATACCCACACAGAGGCATACCCATAATTTTCTGTTTACAGAGTGAATAATTTTCTGTCTGCAGGGTGAATAACATTAGACTATAAGGTTGTGTGAGCTTCTTTTAACGGCTGATAAAGTACTGGCAAGAAAAGATTCAAATACCTTTAAAGCATCTGCGGTACACAACAGATAAATTATAATCTGAATAATGAAATGAAGTGGAGAAAATCACTAAATAATGGGAAGTGATCAGCATTTTTAAACTGACCCTTTTTGCTATCTACATTGTAGTTTAACTTGCTTGACCATGCTGCTATGTGTGGTGTCCCTATAAAGTACCTAAATGACATGAATTCAAGAGGTTTGCATTTATTCAAATACATGGCAGCACAATCATAGTTCATTTTTAGTGCTCTTTAGATTTGCTGAATTACCTGCCTGCTTTCTCTAGGCTTCCTCTAAATTGCTTACCTAAATTAGGAATTTGTACAGGCTAGTCTATATCATGTGTAATGTTATGTAATGTTAATTTTTCCCTCTATCCCAGGTATGTCTATTAATTTAGCTCTATAGGTTTTATATCATATGGTCCCATTATCAAGTGCTAGGCAATATTTCTTAGCTATTGTTTCCATAATTTTTCTAGTATCATTCATTTATTTAATTTTGGTTTAATGATCTGAAATTAGTGACATTATCTTTCACAGAAGTGTAAGTGTGCTATAAAAGATTTCTGACTCAAACATCTGCCTTAAATGTTTAGTAGGAATAAATATGCTTTATTGTCCCTGTCCTTCCCACAGCCTGTGATGATGAATGCACAGGGCTCCTTCTAAGTGACCTGGATCAGCTAAACCAGATGATTCTGAGCGTCAACCTCAGTGGCCGACTGCCTCCTCCATATAAGATCCTGTATGGTTTTGAAAACACGACACAGGAATTAAAGGTACATGCACAGCACTTGTAACACAGGCAGGCGAGATCAAGCCTGGGACCCCTAGAGCTTAATGCATAAGCCTAAAAGCCAGCTGGCTATTAGCTAAATTACACAGCAGTCTCATTATTCTCTCTGTAAGTGGTCTTAGTGCTACTAGGTGGGACGGTATACCACAGCCAGAATACACACATACGTCAGTCCAAGACTTCAGGCCAATCAGATATATATTTGCCTATATACATAACAATAGCTAGAGCTAAGGAAGAAAAAATAAAAGATTTAATTACTTCATACTTGTCACAATTGGTAAATAGTTATTACAATTGTGTATTTTGACTTACGATAATAATTAAATCATGCAGAGGTAATTTATGCTTTTGCACTTGGCTAGAAGGAAATATATTGCAGTCATAGAGAAAATGAAATGAAATTATAAAAAATAAAAATATTCTTGTTAATAGAACATAGAGCAGTTACATTGCACTGTATATATGCTACCACATGCATATATTTTATATCCTATATTAAAACATTTAAAACTGTCATGACACCTAAGTAAACAGTTTTGGATGGGTGTGACATTAGTTATTAGTGTCAAAAAAGGAATTGCATCTGCACTGAGAAGAAAGCTTTGATGTTTCTTCTCTTTACTATTTCTGAAACCCTGAAATCCAGGAAATATTTTTTCTAGCATTTGCTATCACCTCAGCGAGCACCAAAGAGACTCCTTCAGCTGGCACAAAAAAATCTGGATACCCTTGTGACAGAGATGGATGAGCTACTGACAAGGGTAAGTCTGTAGCATTCTGAGATAAAGCTAGGAGTTTGTTTAAAGGGGTGTTTCTAAGTGACTGACAGGATTATTTTTGTAGATGAATTAAACATGAATTAATGACTGAATTATAAATTGCTTTTCATTCCCAAAGAACCAGTTTTAAATCACATACCCACCCTTCCTCTGACATCCTCTTTCTTGGGTGGCAGAATGTTGAGATGTATTCTTTCTACTAATCGGAAATGGTAGAAGTATCTATAATAATCCAGAAATGGCAAAAGTGTTCAATAAATATTTAAGTTCTGTATTTGTGGGGAAAGAGATAATTCAGTCCTATTGTATGGTGAGAACATTCTTCTTATGCCATTAGTATCTCCAGAGGATATTAAATAGATGATATTAAAGTTTGACATTTTAGTCAGTAGGTCTAAATAGCATTCAGAAGTTCTAAAAAAGCTTGCAGAATTGCTCACTGTGCCTTTAATGTTGATTTCTTTCAATAAGTTTTGGAGCACTGGGGATACTTTACAAGACTGGAAGAAAACTAATGTTGTGGCAAATTTTTAGAAAAGAGAAATGCAAAGACCTGGGTAATTATCAGTCCAATTAGCTTGATATCAATCCTAGGCAAGATAATGGAGCGGCTCATATGGAATTTAATTAATAAAGTATTAAAGAAATGTAATGTAATTAATGGAAATCAACATGAATTTATGAAAAATCAGATCCTGTCAAACTAAGTTGATGACATCTCAAGTTTAGTTGATAAAGGTAATAGTGTTGACACAGACATCTGTAAAGCATTTGCATTGGGATTGTATAACATTTTGATTAAAATACTAGAATGATATAAAATTCATGTGGTATACAATAAATGGATTCAAAATTAACTGACCAGTAGGAGTCCAATTGTAATTGGGAAATCACCATCAAGCTTGTCCTGCAGGGATCAGTTATGGGGCATACGCTATTTAACTTTTTTTTAATCAGTGGCCTAGAAGTAAGCAAAAAATCAACACTAATAACAGTTGCAGATAACACAGAAATTGAAGGATTGTTAAATAATAAAGAAAATAGGCCACTGATTTGGAACTATCTGGATTGCTTTGTATATTGGGTTCAAACAAAAAAAATGTGTTTTAATATGGCTAAATGTAAATGTATACCTCTAGGGATTAAGAGAGTAGGCCATAATTACATGATGGAGGACTCTATTATGGGAAGCATTGTATCTGAGAAACACATGGTGTCGTTGGTGGATCTGAACTTGAGCCCTCAGTGTAAGTACCACTATAGCCCCAAAAAAGCTACTGCAATCATGAGATGCATAAAGAGGAGATTTTCAAGTTGGAGTGAAGAACTGGAGAAATGGTCTGAGGTAAAAAGGATGAAGTTTACGAAGGACAAATGCAAAGTACGCCACTTAGGAAGGAACAATTAGTTGCACACATACAAAAATGGAAATGACTGCCCAGGAAGGAAGCAAACATCATGCTGGGATGCATTAACATGAATGTTGTAGGCGAGACACATGAAGTAATTCTTCACTCTACTCTGAGCTGCTTAGGCCTCAACTAGATGATTATGTCCTGTTCTGGCTGCCATATTCCAGGAAAGATGTGGACAATTTGGAAAATTTGAGAAAAAAAGATTAAAGATCTCGAAAACATGACATCTCAGGGAAGATTGAAAGAATCGGGTTTGCTTACTATGGAAAAAAGGAGACTGAGAGGGGACATAACAGCTTTCAAGTACCTAAAAGGTTGTTACAAGGAGGAGGGAGAAAAATTATTCTCCTTAACCTCTTGATGATAGGACAAGAAACAATGAGCTCAAATTAGAGCAAGGGAGGTTTAGGTTGGACATTAGGAAAAACTTCCTAACTGTCAGGGTGGTTAAACACTGGAATAAATTGCCTAGGGAGGTTTTGGAATCACCATTATTGGAGATTTTTAAGTGCAGGTTAGACAGAGACCTGTCAGGGATGGTCTAGATCTAGATGGTTGTTATAAGTGGCCTACAGACTGGACACAGGTCGCCAGATACTTTATCTGTATCCACAGGTATGGCCACTCACAGCTCCTATTGACTATGGTTCATTGTTCCTGGCCAATGGAGCTGCTGGAATTGGTGGCCTGGCCTGTGATTCCTATATCTGCAAATCATGGACAATAGGAGCTGCAAGCGGCCGTATTTGTGTACGTGCAGGTAAATAAAGTGTCTGGTGGCCCTCTAAGAGCTTGCCCTGGTGGACAGTGTCCAGCCCATGGGCTGCATATTGCTCATCCTGGTCTAGATGATGCTTGGTCCTGCTATGAGTACAGGGAATTGGCCTTGATAGTTCCTTCAAGTTCTATGATTCTATGAAGTTATGTGACCTCTCTTTACGGAACTTACTTGGATGACCATTGTTGGAAGTTTATAGATTTGATTATAGTCTGTAAGTACCTACATGGGGACCAAATATTTTATAGTGGGCTCATCAGTCTAGCAGAGAAAAGTATAACACGATCCTTCATCTGGAAGTTGAAGCTTCACAAATTCAGACAGCAAATAAGGCATACATTTTAAATGGGAGAAATTAGCCAATGCAAGAAGTTACCAAGGAATGGGATGGATTTTCCATCAGTGACAATTTTAAAATCACAATTGAATGCTTTTCTAAAAGATCTGTCCTAGGAATTATTTTGTGGAAGTTCTATGGCCTCTGTTATCCAGGAGCTCAGACTAGTTGATCATAATGGTTCTTTCTGTCCTTGGAGTCTGTGAATCCCTTAAAAAGCATAATTGTCTCTTTCAAATCCTCTGGCCTTGTTTTTAATAGTCACAATCTGTTTGTTGTGATTGTTCATTCCTCCTACGTCTACATTGCGCTCTCTTGAGCAAGAACATATGCAAATGAGCCTCCATTTTTGCGCAAGGGACTTTTGCGCAAGAAGGATCAGTCTACGCTGCTCCTTTTTGTGTAAACCCCCCCCTCTTGCGCAAGAGCCATTCTGCTGCTTATTTTCATATGTTCTTGTGCAAGAAAGCACAATGTAGACATAGCCTTCTTGTTTAGCTACACAACATTAGTTCTCAATCTGTTTACCACTGTGGACCACACAATCAGCTCTGTATTTGTTATGTGGGCTACATCCACACACTATATATACTACCTTTATGGCCCTGAGGATGTCTCATGAGCTGCAACTGTGTGCTGATTGGGCTGCAAGCAGGCTGCAGTTTAAAAACTAATGCTATAGAGGGTATGGTGCTGTGAGTTGTTTCTATTTCCAGTTAAGAAAGTGCACAGCAAGACAGAGAAATTTCTGCTTTAAAGTTAAATCTAGTTATCATGAAGAGTCAATCAGTGGAAATATCTAACTGGCAATGTCATTTACAGCGATAAATCAAGTAATTTTAAAACACCTTTATTTTGAGGAGGTGAGGGTCTCTGGAGGTGAGGGTCTCTATGTGCTAGCTGTTCATTTTTGTTTTTGTTTTTTAAGGAAAGCTTTTATTTCAGATTAGAGCTTCAGTGCAGAAACTGGAATATTGTTAAGTTATCAGAAAGAGAGTAAGGAAAATAATATAAAGTGTGCCACCTAATGGTAGATGATTCTAAGAAGGGGAATAGTTGTCAGCTGTGAAGTTCAAATATTTGATGGAACATAAATATAAAGGATAGGCAGACTTGGAAAGATGATGTTCAGCAAAATAGTTGAATTGCTCCTCTGGGCACTAATTAACTAACTCACACACACACACACACACACACACACACACACACACACCCACCCACCATTGAAAGCTGTATTGCTAACATTAGCATCTGAAGTTTGTAAAAGTTTTCTTGTAATTTTAGACTCCTTTCCTAAAGAGAATCCTGTGTTGTAGTTTTAAGCCACTTTTAAGATAGTGCTGCTTGTGCTTTTGTAAATTTTATCTAAGTATATTATTTTGAAAATCTCTTCTGAATTACATGTGGTGCATGTACCAAAAAAGAGGGAATGTATATGTGTACAAATATTAATATAAAGTAATATCATTCATTATCTTTTTATTTTCATTTTTAATACAAAATATAAAGTATTAGGTATCACAGATCTTAAATTGAAAAGGACCTTTATAACTGCAACCAGGGAAAATAGTATTTCCTAGATTTAATGTAAAGGATGGGAGAAAATATTATTTAATCTTATTACAACCCCTTCTCTGTGTTTGGCCAGTCGAAACAACTTCTCATCCACTCTTTACTCCCCTCCACCATGGTTATCATCCTCCTATCTCTCCCTGCTGTCTCCTCCTCCATCCACACTCCCTCATCCACCTACATTCATATTCATTACCAATTCATTCATGCTCGTTAGTATCTGGTGCTTGTTTGTTCTTCCCTTTCCTTCAGCCATTCTTTTCTCTCCCTTTAGGTCTCCATTTGACTTTATTCTCCCTCATTTACATTCCTATTCACTCATTTCTTCCAACCCATCCTCACTGAGACTCAAGTAATGATACTAGTTGTCTGTGCCTGTAAGGACTGGGCAAGGCGCTGTAAAGACTTTGTGGTGATGAAATCTCAGGGTAGCTGTTTTAGTCTGTAACTTTAAAAACAATTAGTCTTATGACACCTTAGAGGCTAACCAAAATATAAAGAATCATGAGCTTTTGTGGGTAAAACCCACTTCCTTGAATGAATTGGAGTGGAAATAACAGAAACCAAGAGATTGGTTCTAAACCTGTTTCAGCTCAGAAAACGTCTTAACCCACCCCAAGATTACCTCTAAGGTGTGTGGTTCAGCCCCTTCTCTACTGGTTGGGAGAGTCTTGCTGCTGTGTCCTCCCTCAATGACAGCAGCAACTCCCTGCTGAGAAGTCCCCTTCTCCCCACTCACCCCCCATCCAGGCAGCTTCATGCATGGAGCCCTGAGGCTCTGGGTGGGCAGGCCTAATTAAGCAGCTGTAAGGTCCTGCTGCAATGAGGCTTAGAGGGAACCTTGACCCACACCTTATCCTGCAAATCAGAATGTCCCTATATCCATCTATGACATCCACAACTCAGAAAATCTTGTTACTGAATCTGGAAAAGTAGAGTGCTGAGGCAACATTGGCTATAGGTAGCAGGAAGTACTTAAAGGGAAGTCCAAACTCTGCCTCTGTGAAGCCGATCTGAATTAGCCAACTATATGCCTGCATTGCTTGTTCACTCTGCCTGAAGCATGTGTTCAGTAGAAGCCTTTGGTGCAGCTATTTTCTGGGTGGCATGTAGAAAATAGAAGCAGTATCACTGTAGAAGTCCCTTCAATGAAAGCATGTAATATTAGGAGGCCATATCACACAGAGGGAGAAGTAGAGCCGAGCACAATGATAATATTTGTATGGATATCAGACTTGTCACAAAGGGATCCAAATAAAAAGGAAAACAAAGACAATGTATATGGATGTGTGCCATCTGTGAACCCTAGCCACACAAGATGCTTATAGGACCCACCCAACTTAAAAATATTGCATTTCCTGAATTTCCATGGGATAGAACCTTGTGTCTAAAATTCTAGAATGTTTAAAGCCTCCAACCCTGCTTTAAAATTCACACACAGATGTGTGTCTGCCTATTTTCTCCAGTTCCTTTTTAGCTGACAGTGGCTCACAAAGGAGTTTGAAAGCTTCAGAGGGGTAGCCGAGTTACTCAGTAACAGGAAACACTTAAAAAAAGAACAGATAGTCTAGTAGCACTTTAAAGACTAACATAACATGTAAGTGGTATCATGAGCTTTCGTGGGCACAACTCACTTCTTCAGATGACCAGAGACATCTGGAGTTTGATGTCGTAAGGAGTTTGAGCCATTTAAACATCAGCTACGTCTAGACTGGCATGATTTTCCGCAAATGCTTTTAACGGAAAAGTTTTTCCGTTAAAAGCATTTGCGGAAAAGAGCATCTAGATTGGCACAGATGCTTTTCCACAAAAGCACTTTTTGCGGAAAAGCGTCCGTGCCAATCTAGACGCGGTTTTGCCCAAGAAAGCCCCGATCGCCATTTTAGCCATTGGGGCTTTTTTGCGCAAAACAGTCCTGAGCTATCTACACTGGCACTCGTGCGCAAATACATTTGCGCAAGAGGGCTTTTTCCCGAATGGGAGCATCATAGTATTTGCGGAAGAACGCTGACAATCTTGTATCAGATCGTCAGTGTTCTTGCGCAAATTCAAGTGGCCAGTGTAGACAGCTAGCAAGTTTTTCTGCAAAAGTTTTTCTGAAAAACTTGCCAGTCTAGACGCAGCCAAGGAGTGTTTTCTTCAGTTGAAACCTGCCCCATGGCTATGTGGAATTATCTCCATACACAGCAAACAGTTGGGACTTTGTTAACAATGAGCAACACCTGGTTGACTATGTTATGGCAAGACAGCATCTGAGTGAAGCTATCTGTCATTTTATTTGATTTGTAGAGTGGAAGTTAGGCCAAAAAAGAGAAGAATAAACTGAAAAATGTATTTTCCAGGAGAGCAAATCATGGTTAAATACAAGAATCATTCAGTGGAGTTGAATGGGTTTGAGGAGTTAAGGGAATGGTCACAGAAGGGAAACAGAAACTGTTCAAAGTCAAATTCATGTGCACCAAAATGTAATATGTAGCATCCAGCCATAAATAGTGGCAGTTAAAAAAGGCCAGTTTGAATTAATATGAATGTGAAAAAGTAATCAAGGATAAGAATGTATATGCAAGTTATAAAACATCATTTTGTAGTGGAGGACTATAATATTATAAAAAAAAGTGAAGTGCATGTAAAACATCTAGGAAAATCAAAGGCAGATAATAAAAGGATGATTACAGAAGATGTGACTATAATAAAAAATAGGGGCAGTTCTCTCATACATGAGGAACAAAATATCATCAGATATGCCATCCTGGAACAGACCACTGGTCCCTCAAGACCAGGTACATTCACCTGTGCTGGATGCCCTGTATAATTTACCAAGACAGTTCTGTATCTGAGGCACATTTTAAAGATTTGATAAATCAGTAACAGAAGCATAACTTACATAGAAATGAGAAGCCCATGTTCTTTTATTGGTCAGGATATGAAGGAAGGATTGGTGCTTTTACTCTCCTCAACCAATTTTTAATGTAAATTACCTGTGATGTAATTACTGCAAGGCAGGTCAGTCTAAGAGATCAAAATCATCCATGGATTTCATTTCAAGGACAAATTTGCCCATTTGTGCTATAAATAACAAAAAGTATTATACTTCTAGGTTTTTAATGCCATTTCTGTGCAGTAACAAGTAAGTTTTCTGGGGCAGATTTAGGGATTGGGCAAGATCTAACGTGATAAGTAAGGATTCACACACAGTCAGCTTGGTTGGACAAAACTCAGAATTATAAAGTGTCTATTAATTTCCCTTGACTAGATTATTGCAATGCTTGTTCATAACTGAGACTAGAGTTTGTATAACTGTAGCTGGATAAAATGTAAGCTTGCTTCAGGTCACATGCTTCCAGCACTTTCCTCAAATGTGGAGAGAATATCGTGCTCTGTGGCATTGGATGTCCCTTCTGGGCAACCATATTCCTACATAAACAGCTTCTGTTGCTCCATGAAATAATGTTTGCACTCATTATATGAAATGCTTGCAAGAAATGGTACCAGATATCATATGGTAAATTTAAGCATATTATAAAGAGGGATGTTTTGAATTTGAAAATAAAGATTAATGTATATGGATCGTTTTTTTTTTTCTGACTAGTGCTTTGTCAGGCCTGTGATTGATGTTCATCTCCATCTTGATCTGTTGTGATTCATTAAAACTATAAATCATGTAGGTACCCATAGTCAAAACTATATTGATCGCTTGAAAATGTTATATACAAAAGATTTCAAGCAAAATGGAAAAAAGAGTCATTCTTCCTTCTCTTTCCCTTTTTCTTTCTTCCTCCTCTTAATTAATGTATTGATTTAAAATTTGGAGAGAGACCATGTCTTCTTCAAAAACACCTCAGGGAAGGTAACAGGTAAGGAGTGCTGCGTATACTGCACTCTGTCATCAGGAAATCAATCACATAATAGTGAAACTAGTGGCAGTACGCCCCGAAGTATCCATTAAGAGCTTTTCAACAACATTGCTTTAAACAAATTCAAAGAATGTTCTCATTTGGAATCCCTTTGTGTGCTGATCCACACAACTAGCATTTCCAAGAACCAAAAATAAAGCCTTCCAATTTCTATTTAATGGAAGAGGAAATAAAATGTAATTGTGTACTTAAGTAGAGTGTGTCATTTCCAGTACATCTGATCAATAATTCATTGATTGCCTTTTGCCCGAGGAAAGATTTGCAAGTGGATTCAGCCAGTGGGAATATCTCCTGGTGCAGTCTTGTCATGTCCATTAATTATACTTTTCCTGAATTTGGATCACTAGGCGACCAAGGTGTCAGCAGACGGGGAACAAACTGGGCAGGATGCTGAGAGGACTAATGAGAGAGCGAAGTCTCTTGGACAGTTCATCAAGGACACACTGCAGGCTGCAGAAGGTATTGGAAAAGAAAACTGTGGCAGTTGCTCTTCATAGAAATTGAAGAGTTGAAGAGAGAGAGAGAGCATTAGCTGGTAGACATTCTGTGATTTAAGAGTCAGGCTAAGAAACTCCAGCCAACTATCTGCAGACTTCAGTAATTGACAGGGTGCAGTTTATAACAACTGTTAGTGGATTGGTAATTACGAGCACAGAATAGCAAGAAATTGGATGCGTTCCTTCAGGAATGTTCCAGTTCTTGAAGAACAGCTATTATGATTACATAACTAATGGGTGCCTTCTGCTTAGCTGTTGTTTATTTCCAACGCAGTTAAAAAAAATCATTTGGGTGGAACAAAAAAAGCCTCCTATAATTTTATCATTTCATTTGGTGCATTGAAGCTGCATCTTAATTTCTCAGAATGACTTCAAAAATACATTGCTACTTGCTGCTAATGAACATCTGCTGCTTGAAATTTGCAAGAGAGTCCTTGCCTTGAAAGTGGCATTGAGCCAGTTCTCCCCCAAGACCTTGATTTTCTGCACCTACAATTGCAGTTCAGAATCACAAGCAGAAAGATAGCAACCAGTTTTCAGAAGAAGAACCTAAATACTCTAAAAAGCTATAAAATAAGAGAAAGGTAAACATGCTTGAAAAGCATGGATTTTTATAATTAAATATGGTTTAATTTGAGATGACATTTTGCTTCCCTACTAGACTCTTATTTCCCCTTATTGTTTTCAGTAGGGTTACATGGGTGTTACTTAAACTAAAATATAGCCTATGCAATTTAAAGCATAACGGCTATGTCTAGACTACGGGGAAGATTCGAAAGAGGATATGCAAATTCCGTGGGAATTTGCATATCTTCTTCCAATCTCACTTTTGAAAGCAGAGTTTTCAAAAATGAAAGTAGTTTAGATGCAGCTTTTTCAGTGAATACCCCTGTCAAAAAGCCACGTAAACCTAATTTTTTGAGGAAGAACAGCTTTTCAAAAAAGGACCGGTGGGTTGCCAGAAAAACTGCATCCTGACTACTTTCAAGGAGAGCTTTCAAAAGTGAGATTGGAAGAAGAAGCCCAACCAGTTTTGTTACCAGAATGTACTGTAGATTAATTTTATATTGATTTTCATGTAATGAATGGTAGCACTAATCAGTTATTTAAAATATCATTTGATCTTGCAACACTGACATAAAACAAGTGTTAACAAATCTGCAAATTTTCAAAGCGGATTTAAACCATATGAGATTGAGCACCTTGCACTCAAAGTGGGTGAGGAAATGTCTTTTATTGTTCCAACTTTGGTTGGTGAAGGAGACAAGCTTATCTCTGTCACCAACAGAGATTGGTCCAATGAAAGATATTGCCTTATGCACATGAAGTCCCTAATGTCCTGAGGCCAACAGGGCTACAGCAATGCAGACTCCTTGCTCTCAGACAGAGTTTGAAGGCTGACAAGCCAAAGCTGTTGTTCCACAAAGTTTGCATCCACTGTTTGGAATCACCACAGAAGATGCTTCCAGCAGGTTTCCATGAACAACTGGTACCAAAGAATTAAAAGATTTGGAGGGGGTTGAAGCAAGTCCACATAAAGCAGTAGAGAGAGTGATTTTAAAATCAAGGGCTGTGTCTAGACTGGCCAGTTTTTCCGGAAAATCAGCCGCTTTTCCGGAAAAACTTGCCAGCTGTCTACACTGGCCGTTTGAATTTCCGCAAAAGCACTGACTTCCTACTGTAAGAAATCAGTGCTTTTTGCGGAAATACTATGCTGCTCCTGTTCGGGCAAAAGTCCCTTTTGCGCAAAAGGGCCAGTGTAGACAGCTAAGATTTGTTTTGCGCAAAAGCGTATCTAGATTGGCCACGGACGCTTTTCCGCAAAAAGTGCTAGATGTTCTTTTCCGTAAATGCTTTTAACGGAAAACTTTTCCATTAAAAGCATTTCTGTAAAATCATGCCAGTCTAGACGTAGCCAAGGTGTTTGACCAGCAGCCAAGTCAGCATTTTAAGAACAGAAGATAATATGCTTCTTTCACCACTTTTTCGTAATAAATCTTTCCTTTCAGCAACCAATGGTCATTCAAGGTTAAACAACATTGTGAATCACACTTCAGGGCAAGTTTTGTCCACAAGTGCATCTATGCAAACCTGGCAGATGTTAGGTACTAATGCCAGGATCTACAGAAGCACTTAGGTGTTAAAACACTAAGCTTCATAACGCCTAAATATTATTCACCTTGGAAATTTCAGGAACCATAGTCCCCAAAGGGGAAGGTTTTCCATATAATTAATGAAGAGAAATAGGTGCCTTAGAAGTGGTAGTGGTGTTGGTAACTATACAATATATAGCTTTTGCTATTTATCTCTGCTTCATGTTCACTAAACTATTTCTATTTGACTACTTCTCACTTTCCAAGCATGTGAGTAGTTGTACACAACCATCTTGAAAAAAAAACCACAATGAAATCTGCCGGTAAAATGTTTCCTTTTTTCATCTCAAAGTTTGAATTTTCCAAAAATACACTCACTAGAGCTCATAGACAGGGAATATCCAGACCTGGATCAGTAGCATCATTGTAGTCTGATAACTTGCAACTCAGCACAACTAGGAAGTACTGATGGCCTTATTTTAAAGCAGGAGGAAGAGCATTTGCTTCTAACCTTTGTAGATGTGAGATATGACTTATTTTCTATTTTAGGTAAACCTTAGTGAATTCTTAAATGATCTATTTCTTTCCATTAAACAAATTAAAATAGTGGTGCTGATCCCCATCCTCAGATGCCCTGATCATATTTTAGAATAATAATCCTTACAAGGAATAAGCATCCAGTAGCATAGCAAAACTCATGGCCCCGCCCTGCATCCAACATTATACAAACTTTAAATTAAGCATTGAGAAAATTTAAACAACAAAATATATACCATATTGCCCCCAAAACACAACCACTACCCAAACCTCTGTCTTTCCCCATAGATCTAGTAAATAAAGACTCTTTGTAGTATGTCCTAATGCTCATATAATTAATTATTGTTCTATTTCCTAATCAAATCTATGCAGTTAGATTAATAGCAACTAAGGGACTAGCCTGCAGTGAATTCTGTGTAGACATTTCCCTGTGCCTGCATGAAGTACCATTATCAAGTCAATGAGGCTCCACAAAGCTGGAAGGATTTGCCTATGTAACAGGGTTCTTTGCAGGATTTGGCTTTAAGGAATACAGAATCACAGGGACAGTTACAGTTATACAAATTGTCTAATGAATTGTAAAATAGCTTTTGGAGGGTTTTGTTTTGGGTTTGTTTGGTTAAAGGCGTAGAATAAAAATTTCAACCATACTTTTGTTCCAGTTTCAACCAAGATTGAGGTATATGTTTGCATTGAATACCAGGGGTGACTGCGACTCATGGCTTTGACTGAGCTAACTCAAACAATAGCAGGGAAGCTGCAGCAGTGTGGAATAACCACTTGGGAGTACATACCCGAGGTCAGTGGCAGGCTTGTATTACTGCTGTGCTTCACTGCTACTGTTATTTTTAGTGAGAACCAGCTAGGGTAAGTTGGCCCATGTTGCAGTCACACCTTTGCCTGCAGTGTAGACATATTCTAAGGCACTTAGCATAGTAATTTCATTGAAAGGATCCCGAAATAGCTATTCTGCATCTATTGAAGCAGACTGTTATTTCGAAATAGATTTCAAAATAATGAGTAGCTTATTCGGATGTCCCGGTTACCCTCGTTCCACGAGGGTTAAGGGGAGTTTCAGAATAGCGAGTTATGTCAAAATTTGGCACTGTGCAGACAGTGCCACATTATGAAATAAGCTATTTCAAAATACCTTTTTAGCTTATTTTGAGCTAAGGATGCTGTGTAGATACACCCTAAGACTACATCTACACTGCACAGTTTTTGCGCAAAAACTCGCAGAGCGTCCACACTACAAGCGCGTTTTTGCATAAGAAAAAGTACAGTAGAACGTCAGGAGACAGGGCTTTTTGTGCAAGAGTTATTCCTCTTTCTCTAAGGACTAAGCCTTTTTGTGCAAGAACTCTGCAGTCTAACCCTTTTTGACCTCTTCTCTCCATCTGTGTGTCTGTATTTAAATACATAAGCTTGTGCTATAACACCGCTGTTCATTCACCCTTCATTTTTAGAGGGGAACTCCATCATTTATTCTCATCATTCATAAACTTGAATTTTAAAAACAAAATATTTAAAAAGTCAATGAACTCTCTTCCACGCCTCATTTACATTCCTTTTTTTCATCCCATTTCTTGCTCCACCCCCTCGCTCCCTCCTCAGTGTCCCAAATTACCATTTCAAGGGTTTAGTATATATTTTCTCTTTATATTTCTTGCTCTGGATATAAAGCCGCCTCACTTTAATTACTGTGCCTGGAAATGAAATACAATAAAGGATTTGATGGAACATATAACATTTTCTCATTTGTTACTGATCGTTGGACTAACTGTCCTTTATATTTATATTTCCCTTGGTGATGGCGATGATGTGTGGATACTGAAAGTCTCTGTGTCACTTTTATTTACTTACTCTCTATGTGTGTTTTTGCCCCCCTCTGCAGCTGTAAATGAAAAAGCTGTAAAACTGAATGAGACACTCAGAATCCAAGACAAGACCCTGGAGAAAAGTCTTGAAGCTCTGCAGAATGATATTGACAGAATGATGGGAGCCTTGGTGATGGCGATGATGTGTGGATACTGAAAGTCTCTGTGTCACTTTTATTTACTTACTCTCTATGTGTGTTTTTGCCCCCCTCTGCAGCTGTAAATGAAAAAGCTGTAAAACTGAATGAGACACTCAGAATCCAAGACAAGACCCTGGAGAAAAGTCTTGAAGCTCTGCAGAATGATATTGACAGAATGATGGGAGAACTGAGGAGAAGAAAGTTGAATGTGCAAGAAAAGGCAGCCCAAGATGAGTTAGAGTAAGTAGAAGGGCCGCAAATTTCAACATGCTGAGCCCAATAAAATGAATCTGATTAATGCATTCCTATGGGATTTCAAAACTGAAGGTCTCAAACATAAGGGGAGATAATCCTGATTGTCTATTTTGTTGCCTTTGGATTCCTGAAAATGCTAATGTTTGTATAACATTATCCCCCAGCAGAGGCATTCATAAGGACATGTTTTGCCATATTTGAATGGTTTTGTAGGCCACAAGAACTTCTGCTGTTGACTTTAGAGTTAGGATTTTAAGCATCACTATCAGAAAACTCTCTAATCATTCTTGCTGAATCCTGATTGTCTATTTTGTTGCCTTTGGATTCCTGAAAATGCTAATGTTTGTATAACATTATCCCCCAGCAGAGGCATTCATAAGGACATGTTTTGCCATATTTGAATGGTTTTGTAGGCCACAAGAACTTCTGCTGTTGACTTTAGAGTTAGGATTTTAAGCATCACTATCAGAAAACTCTCTAATCATTCTTGCTGAAG